TAATTGTTAACAAAGTTTCCTTTTAAATTAAATAAAAAAAAAAAAACTTATTTGAATGCACTTATACCAAGTATGAATATAGTATATTGCTATATATATATATATATATATATATATATATATATATATATATATATATATAATAAATAGTAAGTCTTTTTTGAAATATTATCTTTAAAAAAACATAATTTCCATAATATTATTGATGCGGAACAGTTAATTAATTCAAAATATTATTTTGATTTTATGCGAGTGAAAGATCCTTAAAAAAAAATGTTTTAGCTTTATATAAGTAAACATTATACGTATACTTGTATTGGATTACAAATTAATTATAAACAACAATTGTGTATTTTTAATTTGGAAAGTTGTTATTATTTTTTTTTTCACAAAAACAACAATGACTTTGGTAAGAATAGTTTTTAATTATATGACAATATACTTAACATAAGTTTATTATAATGCATTTGACACCTGCTTAAATAACCTATGAAATGTGTAAAGCACCCGCGTGTGTCGAGTGTGCATACATGTTTTACTTATTTTGATTAATGTTACATATAACGAATATTTGTTCGTTAAAATAAAACGTACAAATTAATTAATCATTCAAAATGTTGATAAAAATATAAAAAATATTTAAGATGTGGAAGTAATGATATAAGTATATAAGTATAATATGTGATCTAAAAAAACTTTAATATAAAAAGAAACCCAAATTTAATTTTAAAATTTTATATTAAAAAATAATGAATTAATTATTATAAATTAAAATATCTAAACAAATATCACCAAGAGGTTGTATAGTAAACATAGTGGCTCTCTCTCTTGTCAATTAGTTTTTATTTTCAGTATATTTTATGCATTCGAAAATTCTTAGTGTGCAACATAAAAGTATTTACTGTTAAAAATGGTCTGTGTACTACATATGTAAGTATTCAAAGGAAATTGATAAAGTAAACTTATAATAATAATAATAGGAGTTGCTTTGATACAGGGGACGAGTGTTTGTTCTTTGTTATGTTGGTTGTATTATTATTTGTATACGTCTGTAAGCAATGCTATATTATCGTATACAAAAAACGATTTCGAGTGAAGGTTGCTGTAAAATATACATTGAATATCTCTACAAGAGAATCTTGTTGTAGATTTTTTGCACAAAATTTGTTCATTGAACTTATTTGTTTTTTCATAAAATAATTTTTTTGAACTAAAAAATTTTTTATACACTTTTACCGAGTAACAGATCTTAAGTTTTTAACATGAATTAGGTTATAACATATTTTATTAATTAAATTTCCATAACATAAGTTTAGTTTTTTTATGTTCAAAAAATAAGTATGAATCTTGTTAAAAAAAGTCAGCATATTTCAGTATATATTATACAATTATAGCATAAATTATAGTGTAAGTTAGAATTTATATCATAGTTAGTAAATCGATGCTTTAATAATTTAAAAGAAGTATAAAATTATATATTGTTATTACTCAAAAGTCATATTAAGTTATATATACATAAGGTTACAGTGGCGCACAGAAGTATTTTGAGAGCACATGCAACTAAAAAAAGTTACCCACCCACCCATCAATATTTTTTTTTTTTTTTTTTAAAAACGTTTGTTTAAATTATTGTCTGTAACTGTAATTAACTCTTAAAACAACTATAAATTTAAGAAATTAAGATTTATTATAATTAATTAAAATTAAGATGTCTACACCCAGTGCCGTATAGGTATAATGTTTGTGTTATAATAATGTTATTTGCTTACCATACTCCATAATGTTTGGTATCCAAGTTGTCCAATTATATGCCCACCCCCGACGAGAGCACATGCAAACGCACCCCTTGGTAACCTGTCTGAGCGCCATGGTAAGGTTATTTATACGTTAGGTACTATTATACATATTGAACTATATTTTAATAACTGATTCGGAGTAAAATTTGAATATAACAGCTGTTATATTAATATGATATAAATAATTTACACAGAGTTATAAATACATTGTACATTTATAAATGATGGAAAACTAACTCCATTGGAGTGTGGTTTTTATTTTCATTTCACTGGATAAAATTAGTAATATTGTGTTTTATGATTTTCACATATTTTGTAAATAGTAGTACAAGAATTTAATAACATATATATAAATAATATCTAAAATGTTTTGTACGCCTTGAAAAATGTTTTTTACGAACATTTACTATTTTCGCGCACTATTAAAATATATGATTATATCGTTTTTGTTATGAAGTTTGATATCCATGTCATTTAAACACATATATATATTTGTATCGAACTCGAATATTCAGTTTTTTTTATCAATGTACGTTTAGAATATTTGGCCGTAAGTACCAATAATATTAACTTAACCATAATTGGATTTATTTTCGATTGTTATTGAAAATCATTCTTCTTATTTTTAATTTCAATTTCTATGTCAACTTAACTGGTGCATTGAATAATTGTTTATAGATTAATCTTATAATTATGCAAGATGCAATTATTTAAAGATCAATGTCTGTATCAGACAAGTGAAAGTACTACTCAACAACTTTTCTCGTAATTTTTTTATTTTTATTTATAGAATTAATTAAAAAAAAAATATTCTTTTTCGGATTTATGTAGTTTGCACGATCCAGGTAATACTGATAAGTTGATAAATATATATAACATATGAACTATCTGTAAAAATAGATCTGGACAAATAAATATTATTTTTAAATTGTATATACATTTTGAAGTATATGTAAATACACGTAAAATAAATTGTATTCACGGTACTACGTCTTTTCTTATTTATTCGTCCTTTCTTTATGTATTTACATGTTTAAGCTGAGTACAATAGGATTTAATATTGACATTTTAATATTTTCTTATGAGCATGCCACATGTGCTGTGTTTAAAAAGTTATTTTTATCACGAGCAACGAACAAGAATCACAGTATTGAACATAATAACTGACATAAAAATAAAAATAACACCAACATAATAAATATTTAAATATAACAATTATAAACGTAGATTATGATAAATAGTAATTTAAGTTATTGAAATCCACTACATAGGTAAAGGGATAGTAATATAATTAAAAATGGTTGATAAAAATACATATACTTATGATTATTTGAATTCATTAAAATTGTGGAAACAGCAACATATTTGTATTTTATTATTTTCATGCGCTACTTACATCTTAAATTATTGTATTACGTAAATAACTTTAAAATTCTAAATAAATATTCATAACTATATTATATTGCCTTATTAATATAAGTACGACTAAAATGAACATAGTTGAAAATATTTTAGACGCATTTAGATGTATAGTACCGTGTGATCAAATTATTTTCAAAGCAATGAACAATAATTGACTTTCGTGTGTGTAGTCACGATCGAAACGAGACAATTTTAATCGAATACCAAAAGTGATTTAATTAGAACAATTGATTATAATTTTATAAGGAACAGATTCAAAGTGGAAAATATTGTGAAAAATCCTTCGAAGTATATGAAAATGGTATTATCAAATATTCTGGTGTTCGACGTTTTAGAAAATGTTGTCGGATCGTGAACGAACGTGTGTAGACTACTGTTTAATCCGTAACAATGATTACTGCACGTCTACAACATAAATGTGCAACGTGTTTATTTAATAGTAGTTAACACACTGAGATTGAATTTTATGATGTATGTGTATTTATCGTGATTCAATGTTCAGCATTTTTCCAAACGAGTATCGTATTAAAACGGAGATGCATAAAAATATTATAGTGTTTGATTTTCAACTCGTATGCGATGAAAAATGATCAAGTAGTTGGTACACAGTATATACAGGAGCTTTTGTGGATTCCACGATTTCTCTGGTCAAATATTAGTGAATAATACTTTTGAACTCGGCGATTAGTAATGATATAATCCATAGTATCACATAGATTGGCACGTTTTGAATTTTTTTGCATTTTTTATTGAACGATTTAATTGGAAGTTCGATCGAAAAATACAGTATTTCATAAGTACATTTTTCGACTTAAAAAAAGTCTTTTTCCCACGTCCGATTTCGTAACATCTTAAATTTTTCGAAGAGTGTTTTTGGTTTTTTTTTTAGCGCGGACACATCTCAGCACTAAATCGATATGCAATTCGTGGCCTGTCCATATGTATTACGAACCGCACGAAATGTACGAATTAGAAAACAATAACAGCGTCGACAATTATTATAAACGACGACGGGCAGCGGCGATTGGGACACCGGGTCGCGAAATCCAGTCCGTCGTACGATGGGGAGGAGGGAGGGAAGGGATTAATCCGCTGGACGGACCGGATTAGAATGGGATCGCGTTCACCCGGCACCGATCCCGTTAAGAGGAGTCGTCGGTAAAAAAAAAAAAAAATCTCGAAAACGTCGTTAAACATTCTACGTGCTATTGTTATCGTTGCGGTGTCTGTGACGTTGACGGCGGCAAAGGTGGCGGCGAATCTCTCTCGTGAAAATCGAAAATCCGATTACCCGTCCGTCGGCGAGGGGACAAACGGGGCAGGACGAAATTGCAAGCGGTGGCTTTCGGGAAGAGGTGAATCTCCGAGCGACAGTGGCCACTTGTTGGGGCGGCGGCGGCGGCGGCGGCGGCGGCGGCGGCGGTGGCTGTTCGGTGCGGGTGAGTCGGCATCGTAGTCCCCGTCGATGGCAGCGGTGGCGGTGGCGGCTAGATCATCGTTTGGATCGCGCGGCGCGCATGTCCATACCGCGGGCGTCGAATGTGCGTGACGCCGCTACGTATCGCTCTTCCGCCGCCGTCCGCGCCCGCTTCGAACGCATCGCTCGCTTCAAACGCATCGCTCGCGCGTAAAGCTTGTAAGCGAGTTAACGGTGGCGTGGCCGTCGCGATCTAGCGCGCTGTCGACGAGGAACACACACGGCCACTGCCGTCATCTGCTCCGCCGCCCTCTCGCCCGCCACCAACGCCGCACCGCGAGCTTCACAGTCACCGCCGTTGGCGGGCCGCCACCTGCACAACGCCGCCAGTCGTTTCCCGCGCAGGGCGCAGCGTGTACGCAAATCGCGTTCTCCATATCACGAGCGACGCAGCCGGACGCGATTTCCGCTCGCGACGTTTTCCCGCGATTTTTTATCCTCCACGACTTCTCCGGCCCACTCGCAGCCCCGACAGCGATATCCCGCGAGCGCCTCTCCATCCGCACGCACACATCGGTCCGCCGCCACCGCGATCCCGAACTCGCGTCACCCACCCGCCGCCGCGGTACAGGGTGAAAACCCCTGTGGACGGTGTTCGCGCCACCCGTCGCGAACACGCGAGACCGTAACCAACACCGGCGCGCGCGCACACCGCGTACCATTCGTCGTGTTCGCGCCGCCGCCGTCATGAACCTGTACCGTCGTCACGCGGCCCTACCGAACAGACGGAACGCGTCGTAGACACGCTGCCGCCACCGCCGCGGACGCACACACAGGCATCAGTAGTACTTTAGCACCAACATACCGGTATTCAGTAGATAAAGTAGCGCAGGGACACGGCCCGGGCTCGCAAGTAACATTTCGACCGGTGGAAAGGCAACGCAAACGGCCCCAAAACGGAGCAGATACGGAAAATCATGGGCTGCGTTCAGTCGCTGTTCAACCGTACGTATATCGCAGTTATTGTTTATTATTAATATATCATTGTTTTTTTTTTTATCGTTTTTTTCAAACCCTTCAACGTCAACGGTGGTCGCGGACCACGTTTTCTGTTTCTCCTTCTCCCCACCGGTCCGTCTCGCAAACGTGCGCGGACCAGACGTTATTTATATTTTCTTGTTGTTTAACGAATGGCACAATAAGCGAATGCGCCTGCACGGGCCATTCTCGATTGTAAATAATATCACGAGTGTGCACGCGTGTGCTCTGCGTGCACGGAATACGCGTGTATTAATTTTTTTATTTTATTCGTTTTTTTTTATAGTTTAATGTTTATCAAATTTTTCTTTTTGTTTTTTTTTTATTAACGAAAATTGCGAGACCTAATAGAATGACGAAGTGCAGTCACGTCGATTTTATCCCTGGATTTCCCGTTTTTACAATTTTTTATTCATCTCGAGCTTTTGAAAATACCCCGTTAACCGCACAAAGTCTGTTTCTGCCCATCGACCATCATCACTTTCGCTCATTTGCTCTGATAAACATATTGTACGCGTGTAAAACTATGATCACGCGAAATCACTTTTGATCAACTGTTCTCATCAAACACTACGGTTAGGCGACGTTGTTTTTGAATTTTTTTCGATTCAAAGAGAAAATCAGATAAATTAATAATATTATACACACTATTTCTTATCAATAGTCGGATTTGGTAAATTCGTTAAATTCACTCCTAAATTTTGATTTTATACATAAACATTTCAATCGTTAGTATTTTTTTATCGTATACATTGTATTTTTCATGAACTTTTTAAGCCAACGTACACCCAATCTGAGAAAGTAGTACCTGCTAATATTAACGTTGAGGCTCGGATATCACGAGTAATAATGATAATTGTTTTTCTCTAGCTTTTCTTGCGCGTGCGGATGATTACCGATATAGTAATGCTTTCACTGGATTTTCAAACATTTGACCATATGATTTAGAAAATGTATTTTTATATTTTGTTTTATAATTATTTAAGGAAGAACCATATTTGTTTCCAGCAAAACCGTATATGAAAACATCATGTTTTTATCCGAAATAAACTCGAACCCATCCGATTGAAATATTATAAATAATTATATATCAATTACATTATTATTTTAAATATATTATTTTCAATTATTATGAGTTTACTCTTAAGATGGGTATCGACTAGTTAATAGTATATTATTTTAGTTACATTTTAACTATCGGCAATGTCGCAGTGGTTTCCGCATGGAATTGTATTATTATATTAATTTATGAGTTAAAAAAAAATTGTCTTTTGTACGCCGAAAACTTCTAAAAAATAGCATAGAAAAAGGTCGTTTTCGCGGAATCATACGCTACCGATACGTACTCGTACGTCGTGGCTTTATTAATTGGCTGTTGTTCGCTGCCAACAGATCCAGTGCACATTTGTGTTTGCATTATTTTCAACTACTTGCTTGAAACGTTTTACATATCCTCACGTATGTTATTATTTATTATTAATCAAATTCATAATTGAAGGATGTTGCTTATAATATTTTTTTAATTGCAAAAAAAAAACAAACTGACAGCAATATATTATGATTTTTTTTTTCTAACTTTAACTTTAAATTTAACTTTTTGGTTTTATTATTTTATACAATTACTTAGATATCAATTTCCTATAGAACTCAAGTGTCCATCCAATTGATCCTAAATGCTTTTTTCAATAGAATATTTTATATTTACAAATTTTACACTACGTATATTTTGATATCATTGTGAAAGTACCAAAAAAAAAAAAAAAACGCTTTTTTTATGCTAATGTAATAAACAAAAAAATTGAAGTTATAATAACTAACTTTGAAAGGATTTTCCAGAGACATTTTTTTTTTTGCCTGGAAAATCCGTTAGTGATATCATATCGTAAAAATAAACATGTTTACAGAACATCAACACACACACATGAATAATATTCTTTATGTGATATATGAATCCATGGTTTTTATTATAATATGATGTTATAATTTAATATATTAGATGTTACAATGTAATAGAATACAGTATCGAGCTATCAAGGTAATAAATGTTGGAAAGCGTGAAGAAAACTATACCTGAAAATAAAAAAAATGTTTACCTCAACAATTTCGTTTTGTTTTTGGCTTATTATTATTATAACTATTTTTTATAACAACGTACGTTCGTTATTTACATTTATGTAGTTACATGCATTCGCATTCAGTGCATGCGTTGCTTATACAGTTAACAATACAATTATAATCTATTATGATATGTCCACATAACCGCTTGTGTAAATTATGCTGCCACGTTATACTTATAATAAAATGTGAGTATTTAAATACTGCGTTTCAACTAGATTTTAATATTATATTTGTAAATGGATAGAGAATTATACAAGTAAGTTGTTAACCATTATATAAATGCCGTTCAAAGTTGCCATATTACAATGGTGATATTAATATAATACGTGTTTACCGTTTAAAGCTATATAATCACACTTGATACTGACTTTGCTATTACTATTCAAATAATATACTAAGAAATATAAATGTATTAAGTATATCAACACAGATGTTACATTGAGCAGTTGATTTTGAGAAGTGACTATACTCAGTAACACATGGGATGTAATTATTACTCTTGTAAATGTGAACAAATTTAATTGCAAGTATCCGTAAGTGAAACACCTTTAAATAAAATATATGTTGACCACTTTTCTGTTCAAGAATTATATTTGGATCATTTACATTAAAACCAAAAATATTAATAATGTGATCTATTTTATCTAAAACATCCATTTTATTCTATACATTAATAAAACATAATGCTTATTTATAAAATATGATTATAACAATACGTCTTATCAAGAAAATATTTTAGTATTTCCTCAAGTTATAGAGTATTCCTTTAATCTGAACAGAAATGTGTATTACGCGATAAATATTTTCATAATAATTTTTTTTTTTTTTTAGCTTTTATTAATAAATCTAGTGATTTCATAATAATATAATATCATACCATATCATACCCTATATTTTTTATTATTATAGTTTATTTATAAGTTTATAATATAGATAGCATGTACAATGTACATTATATATACCGTCAGATGTCAACTACATACTTCCATGTGTAAAATAGTCGATAATATATGCTTTTATTTTTCTAATTATTTTTAACAATTTACATTTTTTTTTATAAATATGGATTTAGGAGGGGGTGGCGCCTAGCCCTCTCCCTTGGAACCCCTGTCACCTAGAATATTTGGTTTTTGTATTGAAAAGCGTTTAATCCAGTCTGTAAAACATAAAATGCTTACGGCGGCGTAATGTCAAGAGAAATTTAAATACTTTTTACTCCTTTGACAGCCAAAGATTTTAGAGCTTATAACATATTGTACTTCGTGAATGGGTCTTCAGAGTTAAATGCAAATCCATTCAAACATAATGACCACTTATTCGCTTGATTAAATAAACTACTATCCTTGATTGTCAACCAAACAATTATTGTACATGCCTTACACAGAATTATATCAATATTTAAATGTATAGTTTATACACAGATAATGTCATTGTAAATATATCAACATGAGTATAAGAATCATTAAAACGCAATATTATTATATTAATTCATATGTTCTTGAAATAAACCACCCTGGAATAAAATGTCAGCGCTTTCACTGAAACTCTTATTTTTATGACACAATTTCTTAAGTCTACGATTAATTAAATAATAGTCTTCTTTAACTTTGTAATACATCATAATCAATTTTTTCTAACTGTTAAATATTTCGTTAACTGTTAATTTGTAATCATTGAAAATTCAATCTTAACTATGGTGTTTTCGATATTTTGTAAAATTGATGAATGTAAATTATAACATATTGTTTTCAGTAGTATAAAAATGTATTAGATCAAAGAGATCAAACTATTATTTTTGATTTTAAAAATAAAATAAATAAAAGAGAAAAGAAGAAAAATATTGTATTTTATTACACTTTATTTTATAGTACTTAAATTATCTAATATATTATGTAATATAATATAATACTTGTGTTTTTTTTAAACGAATCTAATTACTTCACAAGTTTAAACACGAATAAAATTATATATTTAAAACAAAACTATATATAAGGTAAAAATTTTCAAACCACATTCAGATTTTTCCATAGAAATTTATATGAATTTAAAATATCATTACCATGTGTATCGTATATAGCTATAGCTTCAATATGAAAAAATAATATCCAGATTTTTATGGATTATGCTTTTTACAAGATTTGAAGACTTACAATCAATCAGTATAATGAGAAAAAATTTGAATATTTGTACATCGGTAAAAAAAAAATAAATTGATTGTTATGGCCAATAACTGATTATTTATTGGAATGTTGAATGTAAAAACAATAATGCTCAGCGAATTCAGTACTTGCCCCTCTAAACATGATAATACGTATAAAGTATATTTATTTATATTGAGGAAATTTAAGTTTTGAATGGAAAATATTATAATAAATAATGATGACAATGAATAATTTATATTTATGATAATATTTTTGTCGATCAATACCTTTAAGGTTAAAATTGTATTTTATTTTACTGGTATTGATAAAAATTAATGTGATATGTTATCCAATCAACATTTATTTCAGATTTTAAGTAATGCTTGGAAGCTAGGTATGAAAGCTGTACAATGATTATCATTTTTTTTAGTCGTTTAGATTTCGATTATATTAGAAATTCAAAAGTTTATAACAATCTTTTACTAGATATTTATTTAAAATTGTATAGTTTATAAAAGTAGTGAGTTAAAAAGTATTTTCAATATATCAATATATATCATCTTTTCCATTTAACTCTTCGACATAGATGAAGTATTTGAATTAAAAACTAAATGTGGTACAAAAAAAAAAATTTAATTAAACTGAATAAATATGTGATATTTCATTACAAATAATTACCACAATTAATAAATTATAATTCATAATATG